ACCCGGCCACCCGAGGAAAAGGCAACTGCGAGCAGGCACACAGCCCATCATTTTGGGGCCGTACTTGACTCTCTCTCTCACACCCTGCATCTAAACCATCAGAAAACCCTCTCAGCTCTACCTGCAGAACGCGTCCAGACTCCACACCACTTCTCACGACCCCACTGCCGCGCCACCCAAGCCCAGGCCACTGCCACCTCTCACCCGGGTCACCGCACAAGGTCTTCCTGCTGCTTCTGCTGCCCTCCTCTGCCCCCAGTTAGAGCCTCTCTTCTGCACAGCAGCGGGGCGAGCCTGCTCAAAGCTAAGCCCCGTCGTGCTACTGAGATCATGTCACTCCTGCTCAAACCCTTCGGTGAGCCCTGAAGGCCCCACCCAGTACCTCTCAACCTCACCTCCACCACCTCCTCTCCGATACGCTGCTCCGGCCATGACATTTCATTCAGAAACGTCCTTCCATCCAAGAGTCTTTTGCTTGCTGTTCCCTGTGCCTAGAATGCTGTTCTCCCAAACAGCTGCATAACTCAATCCCTTGTTTTCTTGTTTCTGTATGCATGTTACCCGTCGGAGGCCTCCTCTAATCACAGCGTATGAAAGGGCAGCACTCCCCTTCCCTCGGCACACACTGATTTCTTATTTGTCTCCCTCTCGTGGAACCTAGATCCCTGAGAACAGGGACTGCCTTTTTTTCATGGTTTCATCCATCTCATACTACGATGCCACAATAGGTGCTCAGTGAATTGCTGAGTGAATGAACAGATAATAAAGTGCAAATAAATAAAAGCAACTGCTTCTCAAGAAGACAAGAGTCTCACAAGGGCTTCTGCAGAACTCTGAAAATTCCAAAAACATCAATCAAGTTCAATTATTACACAACTCAGATCTTCCTTTTATAGAAAAGGAGTCATGCTGTAATGAGGCTTAAATGAAAGGACTTTGAAAGACCAAGTGGCATCAATAACCCTCATGTTCCCAGTCTCGGTTTCACACAGGTACTCAAAAAATAAACTGTTTTGATAACTTCTCTAGACAAACTTCTTGGTAACAAAATTTGTGAACATCCATAACCAAGGATAATGTGTAGCTTTTTTAAAGGTCCTCTCTAGAATACTTTTGAAATAAGCAAAATTTAAATAAATAAATGAATAAGCAACAGAAAGTCAGGACTCACCATAGCAATAAAGCGACCAATAAAACAGAAGTAGGAAAGGTGGTCTGGATTAATGGTTGATGCAGGATTTATCTGTAGACAATAATTGTTCTTGCCAGCATACTCAAATAAGCAATACATGGGGTTCAAAACTTCGTGTGAAAGTAAGAAAAACCATTCTCTATAAGAAAATAAGTCAACATTATTTTCAGCAGTCATATATATACGTGTGAATTTAAAAATGATCTTAAATTCACCCTTACATACCTCTGCTCAAGAGCCTTTAACAACTCCACCGTTCAGCCTCAGCCCCACACGACTACTACATCACCACACTGTAAGCTCCTCAAAACAAAAGCCACGTCTTTATATATTCTTTGTACCCTTAACTCTTATAGGCATTCTAGGACCTGTACGCAATGGGTTTTAATAAGTGTTTGCTGCTGATACTGGAATGCATAGCACTGCTGCTATGGAATGGCTTTAATTTTATTGCCAATGCATTAAAAATGGAACTAATATTTTATAAGGTGAAATCTTCAAATGTGATAGGCACTGTTTAACTTATTACCACCTAGTCTGCCTCATTTCAAATTAAGTTCAATATAAAAAACCCAACTAGATCAAAGATTGGTAATTTATATTACAAAATAAACTCAATTCGCAAAAGATTCTCTTCAACAGCAATTTCTTCTAAAGCAGGGTTCTAAGCTCAAATGCCTACAGTGACCAGTAAATTAATACAGGGGGCTTCCTTCTCTACGTGGGTTCCCATTCTCTACTCAGCCGCAAACCCCCTTTCCTCACCGTATCCCTGACCAAAGTTACCATCAGCTTTAAGGCAGAATTACTTCTGGGCATATAATCACAGTCCTCAGACAACTGGGCAGTAGTGGCACAAAGTGGAAAGGAGTGTATGTTTCCCTACAGGGAAAGCAGCTACTCTGGTTCAGCCACTGGCCGGGGGTGGGGAGGGTGGGGGTGGGGTGGGCAGGAGGGTGTTTTTAAAGAGAAACCAGAAATCTTGATTCTCAAGTATAATCTAGTGATCTTCTTTAATGTTGTCAAATAATGTAAAAAAAAAAAAATTTAAAACCACAATGGGGGCCAAAACTACGCTGGCTAGATCCGGCCTGGCTACCCGTTTACAAATGCCTTCCTAAAACTTTTCAAATCCAATCCTGGAAACTGCCTGAAGGGTAAAGAGAGTCCCTACACAACATCAACTGAGAAATGATAAAAACCAATTTATAAAACGAAGTTCAGCCCCAACACAGCAGCTGAACCAAGACGACTTCCCGCTGTGATGAGGCTGAAGCAAGACGTCCCCAGAGAAGAGGACTGAACAGATCTACTGAGAACATGTTTAGACACAAAAAAACTAGAAATCAAATTCCCAGCTGCTGAAGATCACTTCTAGCAAACAGCCCAGAGAAAACCAAACACATTCAAACAGAGAATGACTACAACATGACATCTAACCTATACCCTGATACCAGGAAAAAAGAAGGAAAAATTCAAACTAGCAAGAGGCAGAAGAGTTCACTTTCAATACATCCTTCTCTATATTCTCAAATGAAGAGATACAAGAGGTTGAAAAAATATTAGACAACAATGAGCTAGCAGAGCCTAGAGAAGAAAATGAAGAAAACAGTAAAACCACTAATGAAAAAATCACGTAAGAAGCAGCAAAACGCAGAGCAGTACTGCAAACAGTGACATGAGGATAGGTTTGAGAAAAACCAAGACAAAATAGAAAAGCACAAAGATACAGATGATCAGAGAAAAGATGACAGACATGTAAGACTGACAAAGGAGATTCCACATACCCATGACTGATGTTCCTGAAGAAAAATGGAACAAATGGAACAGAAAAAATACTCAAAGATATAATAGAAGAAAATTTCCCTTAAATTAAGGAAGATCTTATCATGTTCCCAAACAAAGATATAAAACAATCAACAATGAAATTAGTGAACTTCAAGGAAAAGGACCGTTTGGGTACCCAGAAGAAAAAAGTTTCCTTCAAGGGGCTCACCTCCTACTGACAGTGCTCATGTTCAACCCCAGAGGAGAGTGGAGCAATGTCTACAGAGCACTGGAGAAACTAGTGTTGAGTGAGCAATTTATATCCAGTGCTGCTGTTTCAATACAAAAGCAACAGAAAACACATTCTCAAACACATGAAACTACAGTAATATATCACCCTTATGAACTCCTGAATAAACCAAAACCAATACATGAATCAAAGTAAAGAGTTTGGGAATAAGAAAACCATGGTCTGGAGTAACTGACTATATGCATTAACACCATCAAAATATAAAACCCCAAACTGCTGAGGTGAGTAAGGGTTCAGACAAGAATGTGAATGTTATAAAGTCAGGTGCTGTGAAAGTAATAGCATGTTTCATTTCTAAGATGTATCTTTCTTTTTCATGTCTGAACTTTTCTGAAATTGGACAAGTCACAATAGATGTGATTTGAACACTCATTGTGATAAGTAGAGTTTCTTTTCTGAAAAAGCTTAATAAAGTTTTGGAAGAGAAAATATGTTATCACAATCAACTCTGCTAATTCCACATGTTTACTTCCACCAGTTGTGTCTAGTCCCACGTCTCTCTTTAAAAGCCAGTTGTATTAAAATTGTGATTTTATAATTCTGACCACCTATGAAATGTGAGTTTAAAAAGAGAGTTGTTTCTATGAAAAGCAAGTTTAATTCTTTGGCAATATTTAATGAAAATATTTTACTAAAAACTAAACTGCTGTCAAATTAGGTTTAGGCAAAGTAATTGAGGGAAAAAATTAAAAAGGATTTCCCATTCACAGTGCTTCACAAGTGTCTGTTAACAGTATATCTAGTGAATGTGGAAAACTGTATTCTCAAACGGACTGAGATTGGATTAAAAACACAAACATAAAACCCACATACACTGCTATAATAGCAAAAAATTAGAAACAACCGTATGCATGGTCCTCCATTAATTACGCTCTCTTTCTACAATGGAACATTGTGCAACCATTAGTATGAGCTCAATATGTGATATGGAAAGCTGTCCATGATACACAAAATAACAAAATCGAGCTGCTATCAACTGTTTAAAAAACAAAACAGCAATATGTACTACATAGCACACATGTATACAGATTTATATACAGCTGACCCTTAAACAACATGTTTTGAACTCTGCAGGATTTTTTTTCAACAAAGATAGTACCTGTATTTTTGTTTAATAAATCTTTAAATTAACTAAGTGTGGGGAAAAGTTTGTGTTCAATTAGGGATCCCAGTGTGTGGGACTGAAAGAACTAGGGTTTGAGTTCTGATTCCAGCCAGGCTGCTTCAGCTTCCTGCCCTTGCCTGAGTCACTCATCAAGTCCTTTGTTTTGCTTTTAATTGAATTATAGTTGATGTACACTCTTGTGTTTAAGGTGTACAGCTAAGTGATTCACTTACATGTATTTTTCAGGTTCTGTATCATTATAGGTTATTACAAGATACTGAATATAATCCCCTGGGCTGTACAGTAAATCCTTGCTGCTCCTCTCTTTTATGTGCAGTAGCTTGCATCTGTTAACCCCACACTCCTCTGTCTCCGAGGCAGAGACAGCAGGATGCATGTTTTTGACTACGTAGGGGTCGGTGTCCCTAACCTCCATTTTTCCAAGGGTCAACCATAAATGCAGAGAAAACGCATAGGATATTCAACATAATAATGGTTTCCTCTAGAATTGTGTCAACATTTCAATTTTTGTCTTTTAAGATAATTCTGG